GCTTTGTGGCTGGAAAGAGGTGAGAGAAATGGGCAAGGACTAGGTCCTGGAGGCCCAACCTGAGGGCCACATCGAGAGGCTGGATTTTATTCTAAGGAGCCATCAGAAGGTTAAGCATAGCTGCAATGGGATCTAGTTGGGAAAATATTTTCATTACTGGCCCCATTTTACAGTTAAGGAAACCAAGCCCAAAGCCATAGGCAGTGATTACCTCTGAAGGTTGCACCTCCTTTTGGAGCCCAGGAAAGGAAGCTGTAAATTCTTTAGGAGTTTAATTAGGGATGCATCTAGTGAGTGACCAAAACTTAACAACATTGGAACTGTCCTCTACAACTCCACTTCAGACTTAAGCCTGGGTTCAAATTCTGACCTCAGCTAGGTGGCCTTACCACTGTGTCTCAGCTTTTCATTTGCATAATGAGTATATCATACAGTAGCTGTGAGTATACAACGAGTTAACATACAGTAAGAGCTTAGAACAATGCCTGGTGCCAAGTTCTTCCCTATTTTATTATGAAATGGTTGCTGGTGCTTAGCAGTTACTACTGTTAGTGCCAGAAGGCACCTCCTTTCCTCACCTAGTATTGTGGCTTCTGTGGAAGGTCAGGCAGTGAGCCTAGAGCCCCTGGTGAGAGACAATGGTCTTGTCTGCCTCCTCCCTAAATTTGAGGACTAGAGGGGGCCTCAGTGCTTGGAGAAAGAAAGGTTTTCAAGTCACTTCTGGTTCCTCCTGCTTCCACCCTGGGCCTGGCCCACCCCACCAGACACAGAAACAGAACAGGATGCTCTTTGCCCAGGTCAGAGGCTGGTGGACACCTCCTTCCCTAGCCCTCAGACTCGCTGGAAAACAGCCTACTCGAGTGGCAGAGACCTTGGGGTGGCAGAGGGGACAGTCACTGCCCTGGCAAGGTTCCTTCCTGCGGGGCTGCAGTCTCCTCTGGAAGTGGGGTTTCAGTGTGCCTCCCCCTCAGGGATCTCAGCACTCAGATTGCTAGTTCTGACCATGGTGCCCACCCCTGCTGGCGTTTACAGTTTGCACAAAGTGTGGCTACCCTCAGGCCCCCAAGGTCACACTGGCCTGTCCCAGAAGATGGGGGCTTCCCTCATCCTCGAGCAGAGAGTCAGCAATCTATCTGGGGACTTGTAGATAGAAAAAGATGGCATTAAGACTTGATCTGAAAGGAAAGTGGCCAGGCTAGACCCCCCACATGACTCTTGGGCAAGTGACAGCCTGTCTCTGCCTCGTGTGCACTAGTCAAGCTAGGATGACAATACCGCTTACCTCACAGGGGTTTTGGGGAAGATTAAAATGGATTAAGTAATACCAGGAAGGGCACTTTCCTGTGCCAGATCCAGTGAGCATCCACTGCTGTTTCGGAGATCAGTGCACACTCAGTTTTCTCATCTCTAAGATAGGTGTGTGTCCCTGCCCTTGCTCTGGGGATTTTGTGCTCCAGGTAGCTGTGAGTGGATCCAGCTGGCTCCCGGATGAATGAGTGTCCCCAGGTGAGCTGGAGTGGATGAGACCTGCTTCTGGCAATGGCCAGCTCTCTGGAAAGCTGGGGGTGGGGGGTGGTGGTGGGGGTAATCAGGGATCGGCTCTGGCCCCTCCCTGTCTTTCCTTCACCCTTGTCTGGTAATAAGGTACCTGGGTGGCCATTCACCTGCTGCCCGCCGCTGCCGCCCGCAGCTGCTGCCGGAAATTGCGCAAACTCGGGTTACTTGAGCCCCAGATGGGCTGGGCAGGAGGAGCATAGGGCAGCTGCGCAGGCGGGAGCAGCCAGGTACGTGCGGGAAGGGGCAGGGATGGGACCTGGGCTGAGGTGGGGGTAGCCCGGCTTCTCAGGGTGGTGGGGACTAGTGCTCGTGCTCACCCTTGGACTTTATTGGGACCTCGAATCCTGCTTCAACTCACTCATTTCAGTCAGGCCCACATAGAGAGGAGCAGTGGGCCGTGGGTGTGGCACAGCAGGCAGAGGGTCTGTGGGTCTTGTTTGCATCCTTCTTAGCTGCCAGGAGACTCCAAGATTGCCCCCAAAGTTGAGGGAGGTCAGCAGTGTTCCCTCACTCCCGCCTGAAGACAAGGCCAGTGCAGAGGGGCGAGGCAGGACCACCTGCCGTGCCCAGGGAATGCAGAGGAGGGCTCTGGGCTGGTGCATTTGGGGCCCTCCTGGGTAGCACTTGAAAATTGGTGGCTGAGACTTTGGGTGGTGAGCAGTGGCCTCCGAGGCCATGGAGTCCTACCTGACACCATGGCGTTGGGTTTGCCACCCACACACAGAAGCCTGTGTCATGCCTGGAGGCTCTGACATAACTCAGGCGCAGACAGACCCTTCTGGAGCCTCTTAGAGACTCTAAAGAGGGCTTCGATGTAGGTTGTCAATGTCATTGTACAAACAGAGTTACGTCTGGACCACTGCCCTAACTCAAGGACTAGGGCAGGTCCTTGACCTGCTTGCTCTTTTACTGCCACTGTGACCTGAAGACTGGGAGCTCTATTTTTAACTGTCTTACACAGATAAGAAAACCGAGGCTGTTACAAGTGACTTGCACGAGGTGCAGTGGGGGCTGGGAGATCTGGGGTCCATGACCCCAGAACCAGGCTTAGTGACTCGTGTCTACTCTGCCTGCCAGTGGGGACCCTGGGGTCAGCAGGCTTGGTAAGAGAAGTGGACATCAGAGCACAGCGATGGATTTATGCTTTGGTGCCGCTCCTCTGACCTCCTTCCTCCCACTGTTTTTCCCTGCAGTGCTGGGGAAGGAACTGCCCTCCCCAACGAGTTGGACTGGTTTGGGTGGCTGCAGCCGCCAATGTGGGGGTGGAGGTGGGGGTGGGGACAGTTCGGGCTATCTGGACAGGGCACAGTAGCTCTGGTCAGATGCTTTCTACTGAGGTTCCTGAGGGTCTACCCTCAGCTGGGGTCTCTCCTTTCTACCAGTCTACCCCCAACAAATAGTACTGGCTCTGGGCCAGCAGCCCCCAAAGTCTTCTTTCTAGTGCTGCCAGGTCTCCAGCTGGGGGCTGGCAGAACAGATGGGGGCAGATATATTGACAGATGTGTTTTGTTTGGGAAGTGTGTGCAGTATTTTTTAAAAATGTGTTAACTGAATATGCTCACAGTTAAGAACCTGGAGTTTTTGTGCACTTCTGGATCCCAGCATCCTGGAACACAGCGCCTACCCTTTGGGCCACTTGCCACATGACTACCATGGGCTGGGTGCTTTTCTTGTTTATCACAGGTTGGCAGTGCATGTCTGGCACTCACAGGCATTTCAATTCAGTAACTATTTGCTGCATACCTATTCTGTGTTGACAAGTGTATCATGGAACAGATCCAGTAAACAATACTAATAAAACCTCCAACCTCATGGAGTGATATTTTAGGGCATGGGGGACAACAAAGCATTAAACAACCAGAGACATAATAAAGTGAAGGTGACAGGGAGAAAAGAAATGGTGTATGTATTGGAGGTGCGGGAGTACTTCAGGGAGAAATGATCGGCATTGGTATTCTTAGGGTCAGTTTCATGTGAATTTGTGTCTTATCTGTTTTAGGACCTAGAAAGGTCACTTTTCTCAGTTTTAGTTCCTCCATCTTCAGGAAGGGGTAACAGTGGCTGACAAGTTTGTTGGGCAGGGCAGCATAATGTCAAATGTCAGCCAGAAGGGACCCCCTACTATGCAGGCCCCCTCCCCCCTGGATTTCGAGATGTCCCTATGAAACCATTCAGTACAGCTCTATGGGGTGTATGGGAATGCTTTATTCTGAGCTGCCTGCCACAGTGACCACTGGCTGCTTACTCTTGGCTGTTGAAAACTTGAAATATGACTAGTGTGATTTGGGAACCAAATCTCAAAATTTTAGTTAATTTAAATGTAAAATAAGGTTAAACCACAGAGTGCTAGTGGTTACCGACTTGGACACCACTAAAACTGCAAGCCCTTCTGTATCACCTAGGTTAAGTACTCCCTCCCCTCCATCTTACTGATGAAAAGATTCAGGATTTGTTGTGTGGGTTTTCTTCTACATCACCTACAAGGGCCTGGGAGTGGGGAGTGGACAGGGAAGAACGGTGATGCTTTGTGGCCTCAATGGGCCTTAGACACAGGGACAGAACTGACTTGATGCCTGGGGCATTGGGCCCTGATGCTTGGATGACCATGTGGGCATCTGTGTACTCAGGCATGCCCTCCTGCCTGTGAGTGCCCATCCCATGGCTGCTGGCAGAACAAGGCCTGTTAGATACCTCTGTGTGGGGGCTGCGTGATCTTGAGCATTTCCACTTTCCTTGCAGTGGTGTAGCTCCAGCCTGCCAAACATCAGTGGGCCACCATGGGCCTGGCATTGAGTCTCATACTGGAAGGTAATGGGTGTCTGGGCTCCACTGAGGCACAGTGGGCATTTCTGCTCTTTCCCTACCTATTCTGCTCCTGTGCCTGGGGCCTGGCAGGTCCAGGCTGGTAGATGGCATAGAGTGCAGCTTCCTGCCTAGAAGGATAAAAAGCAGAGATGGTACCAGGCTTACTGGGCAGCCCAGGGTGGGGCGGGGCTGGAGCCCTTTTTCTTGGTCATTGAACCTCAATACCTCAGCTGGGAGGTAAAAGCCATCTCACTGGGATGGCTTGAGCAAGGTGATTGATTGCCTCCTTGAGCATGAATCTCCCCATTTGCACGGTGGGGCTGTTGAGAAGACTTAGAATCCCAGCAGGCTGGTGCTCAGTATGGAGCTTGGAGCCTGCTTTGCCACCTTAAAGTGGGCCTTGTATTGTCTTTATTCTCTAGCACCGCGTTTCTTTCTCTGTGCTCAGCTGGGCAGGACTGAGAGTGGTGTGGGTGGGGCCATAGGACTTTACGAAGTGATTTCCTGCCTGCTGATTGGCTCCCTGTGAGGCAGGGGTGTGGCCTTTAGTTTATAATGGGGCAGGAGTCTTTGCCTCCTGCAGCCTTGCCGAGCCTTTGTCTGAGAGTGTTCAACCCCTTTTCTTTTCCCTGCTGCAGCCGTTACCGTGTCCAGCTGCCAGCTCTTCCTGGATGTCTGTCTCCTCGTTTCTATGGTCTCTTCAAGACCCAAGCCCTCAAGGTACGTGACAGTTATGCCAGTGGACACGCTGACCCCAGGAGCCCCAGCCACTCCTGCCCTTCCTTTTCGCCTGCGGACCAAGGTTCCTGGCTACCTGCTACGTAGGCCATCAGACAGTGGAGCCCGGAAACCCAGCGCTGTGGAGCGTCTGGAGGCGGACAAAGCCAAATACGTCAAGAGTCTGCACGTGGCCAACACCCGCCAGGAACCTGTACAGCCTCTGCTGTCTAAACAGCCACTCTTTAGCCCAGGGACTCGACGAACGGTGCTCACACCCAGCCGCCGAGCCCTGCCTGGGCCTGGCTGCCGGCCCCAGTTAGACCTGGACATCCTTAGCAGCCTTATCAACTTGTGTGATAGCCCCGTGTCTGCTGCTGAGGCCAGCCGCACCCCGGGACGGGCAGAGGGAGCCCCTCAGCGCCCTACAGCCACCCCTCCACGCTCACTGCCCAGTACAACTGCTGTCCGTCGAGTGGATGTTCGTCCCCCACCTCTGTCACCTGCTGGACTCTGCTCATCACCTGGCACAACTGTCGCCTCCAGCCCCCTTCGGCCACCGGGTCTGCAGCGCTCCAAGTCGGATCTGAGTGAGCGCTTCTCCCGGGCAGCAGCTGACCTTGAGCGCTTTTTTAACTTCTGTGGCCTGGACCCAGAGGAGGCACGGGGTTTGGGGGTGGCCCACCTCGCTCGGGCCAGCTCGGACATCATGTCTCTGGCAGGTCCCAGTGCTGAGCTGGGCAGCTCTGAGGGGGGCTGTTCCGCCCGTAGCTCTGCTACAGTGGAGGAGCGCGCCAGAGAGCGGGTCCCCTATGGCGTGTCTGTGGTGGAACGAAACGCCCGCGTGATCAAGTGGCTGTATGGCTTGCGGCAGGCACGGGAGACCCCTGCAGCTGAGGGCTAGGCCTCTGTTCGATGTGGAATTCACCACAGGACAGATCTTGGAGTGGCAGCTGGCCCCTGACCACTCCCGCAGCATTCTACGTCGGGTTAGACCAGAGATGGTCCCTGTGTGAACTCGGTGTAGAGGCAAAAGCTGGCTCCTAGACCAAGAATGGGGAGGGTTGCTCCTGACCTTGGACTCCTCTCCCTCAAGCACAAGATTTCTGACATTAGTGTACCCCTCCTTGGCTCTTCAGGGAGGCTGGATTTGGGACGTTTAGCCCTCACCACTGGGGACATACCAAGCCTGTCTACCCAGTGGCTCCATTTCCTCCTTCCTTCCTTGGCCTCTGTTCTTTGGTGACTTCCTCTTCCTTACTCGGTTGGCCCCTGCCTCCTGGGAACTCCCCCTGGGGTGAGGGCCCGGGAGAGAATCTGTCTACTGCTCTTCCTGATTTTTGGCAGCTGGCTTAGGTGGGCAGATGACAGGAGGGACTGCTTAGGAGTGTGCACTGCTCTGCCCTTCCTCTCTTAGTTAATAAATGCAAATGCTTCTTTCTCAAGGGCTGGGCCTTCAGATTCTTCTGTGTTTACAAGGAAAAGGGGATGGGAAAAGACTTGGGATGGGGCTTTTGGAATTGAATAATTGGTCACTCCATGAGCTGGTGGGGCAGGAGGTCAGCTGCTGGCCTGAGATCTACCCCTGACAGAGGTCCTAACTCTTCTGAAAAACAGACTCTGTCATAGAGGAGGAAACAGGGTCCAGCCACAGGGAGTAGGGACAGAGCTGGGACTGGTACTAGGGTCCTTTGTACCAGGAAGGGGGCATGCAGAGTCAAGGCTGTCAGCAGTGCATGAACCTTGCAAGTTCCACCCTTCCCCACCCCTGCCTAGTTCCCAAATGGGCAGGAAGTTTAGAGAGGACAAATGCTGAACTTGAGGTCACTCAGGCTACAGTGGGGTGGAAAGTGAGAGCTGTGACCGAAGAGGGACTTAGGGAGTACAGCACGGGGTGGGGGTGGCCTTGTCTCCAACTCTGGGCAATCCTGGACAAGCCAGGATCCCCCCTTGGGCCTCTGGGGAGTTGATGGCATATCCTCCTTGGGTTGGGGCACTTTGAACCCTCTGTTTATATTTCAGGGCCTTGAAAAGGGCAGAACAGGGCTGGCCCTGGGCTTTGAGGTCCTCTACTCTCAGCCCAGTTTACTTACCCTGGTAGAGCAGCTAGAGCTAGGATGAGCAAAAAAGTGGACCTCCTGGGGTCATCTGGCCACCCTGCCAGGGTGGCAGTGGGAGCGCCGGGTAGTGTTTCCTCTTTGCAGGCTGCCTTGCTGCAGCACTCAGAAACAGGAAGTGCTAATGGGGGCCTGGTGACAGGTTTGATGTAGGTTTTATTTTAAGCATAAAGAGGAGATTTCCGCTGGTCTGTTGACAAACATCCAGATCAGCCCAGCTGTCTGTCTATCTCTCCACAACCAGCCCTTTGGGGGCCTGGAAAGATTGAGAAGGAGAAATTGCGTAGTAAAGATGAGCTGATGAGAATGAGAAAGGACTGCCTGCCCTGGACCTTAGTTTTCTCTTTAATGACAGCTCAACCCTCTTTGTGACTGGGAGACTGAGGCACAAGAAGGGCTGTGACCTGGGGCTGGGGATTTAGCTTAGCGGCATAAGCGTCTGTCTTGCAAGCCTGTGGTTGTGAGTTCGATCCCTGGTACCGGTAAAAAAAATACACACACAAAAAAAAAAAAAAAAAAAAGGAAGGGCTGTGACCTGCCCAGGGGTGTCCCTCAATGTTGACAGTATGGGAGCTGGGTCTTCTGGGAACTGTGTTGAGGAGTGATGGGGTTGAAATAATCTGAGCCACTCTGCAGAGTGCTGCCCCTGGGGCTGTCAAAGGCCACACACTGGGCAACTCTGCTCCACTGCTTCCTTGCCCCTGGCTCTGTCCTGGACCCCCCTGCTGCCCAAGGATAGGGTTGGGCTGCCTGCCTTTTTCATGTGAAGAAACTAAGATTGAACTCAAGACTGGAGGGATGGACCCTTTGATGCTATAGAAGGGGTCAGTGGGGATTTACCCTCTTATTGGTCCTTAGGGTGACCTTTGGACTGGCAGACATACTGTCTTAGTAAGAGGTTGAACTTGGGGTAGGGGTGACTTATGGGCTGTCATACAGCAGGAGTGCAGGATATTTGAAGGCCACCCCCTGTCTGTGGACACCCCCACCCCCAACCCCCGCCCTGAGAGCAGTATGCTGGAGTTCTAGTTCTCTGGCATATATACAGCATCTGGAAATTGTTTCTTGCTGGCCATTGGATAGAGCACTTCCTGGGTGGACAAGACAGACACCGTGTCCCTGCCTTCATCTGGGCCTAGAGAAGAAGTGACAAAGCCACAAGCACATCGCATTATGATTCAGGTGTGTTCAGGGACTTCTGTCTTGGGCTGTAGCTGCTGATGCAGCTGGATTTTACTGGGAAGGTCCTTGGGAGAGTCAGTAGGCAGGATAGCCAGGAAGGTCCTTGGTAGGGGCAGAGGTGCCAGGCTGAACCTTGAATTTTCCAACAGGTACTATCTGGTCTGGGAAGACTCTCCTCTTTCCAGGTTCTAGAGCTTCCCAGCCTGCCGTGCAGGAAGTAGGCCGGGAGCTCCTCCCACTCCCCCACCAGGCTGGGGTCTCTGCAGAAACAGCCCCTCTATTGTTCTATCTCCTGTTGGAGTGTGAGCCCCCATCTGTGAGCAGCCGCTGCTGCTTTCAGTGAGGCATGCAGCTGCTGCCTTGTCTCCTGGGGCTGTCCGCCCTTGGAGCAGCTCCCCCAGGCCAGCCTGGCCCCAGCTGCTTGGCCCCTAATTAGCCAGAGATGAGATCTGCTCCCTGATCTATTTCCCACCAGCTAATTATATATGTGTGGGGTTGGAGGCAGGCAACCTGGCTGCTCATGTCTGACATGGAGGTGTGATGGGCTCCTGGGAAAGGACTACTTCCCCTGGACTTCAGTTTGCTCTTTAATGACAGAATTTGAGTAAATGGTTCTGTTTTTGTTACTGAAGCATTCCTGGGGAGTGGGGTTAGGGCATCCCATCCTGCCTGACATGCTGTATACAGAGGAGCAGAAACGGGCTAAGAGTTAGGCTGGAGTCCCAGGGTGGAACAGGGACATAGATGAGAGGGTGGTGATAGCTGCTCTCTGTGGGGTGACCTAAAGATGTGGATTCATTCAGGCCCACGACAGAATACCCCATCCAGGTTCTTAATGGTGAATGTCAGTTTTCAAGTAATACCTTCATCTATTTCTCCCACAATTTTATTAAGAAAAATTTCAAATGTAAAGAAAAGTTGAGAGTTATGCTATCAGCAACCATAACACCCACCTACTAATGCATATTTTGCTATATTTTCTGTATCAAAAATGTGTCTATTTATACAGCCTTCTACCCATCCATTAAAACAACTCATGTATTTTAAAGCTAATCAAAGCAAGCTGCAACCATCAGTGTGCGAATCTCAAGGCATTTCCACATACACATTATTAGCTAGAGTTCAATATATGTTTGTGCTTCTTTTTTTCTTGAAGGTAAAATTTGCATACAATGAAGTGCGCAGCCCTTTGAGGTATCATTGCCGATTTCAGACACAGGTACATTGCACCCCAGTCCCCAATCAGGATATGGACCGTCACTGCCCCATGGAAAGCTGCATTGTGTCCCTCCCCTGCTGGGTCCTGCCTCCACCTGGCAAATATGCTTACATACTTAAATAAATTAAGGAGCATTAATAAAAACATTCCTCAATAAAATCTTGGTATAATTAAAAAAAATATTTCTCTGCCCCCTCTTTTCCCTCTCAGTCCTGCAGCCCAAAGGCAGTGTGACTTCAACTCTTGTGTTTACTGCAGTACTTTCCTCCATATTTCTAAATAATGTTTCCTACTGCCAATTAGCTTTAGTCAAAAACTGACGGACTTTTCAGTCTAACATCTTCCCGGTGTCATTTCTGCAGACTGACTCTGACCTTGAACCTCAGCCCTTCCCTTTCTGGCCATGTAAACTTGTGCAAATGACTTAGTCTTGCTTGTGCCTCGGTTTCTTCATTTATAAATAAGAATTATCAGAATATTTAGGTTATTGGATTGTTAGAATTCAAGGTGTGAAGCATTCATCATAACACACAACCTTTTTTTATTATTACCAAGAAAGATGAGGTTTTACTTATCCCTCCTCCTACAATCTACATGTAATATAACTTTCATTAAATGAATATTTAATGTTATTTATGAATATAAATACTGTTTTCTGCTCAGCCATGTTGTGTATTTTGGTTGCATTTCCTTTCTTGTACAACTCTTTGTTTTTTCCTGGAGTTACTATTTGCTGTGATTTTTCCTTTTCCTAGGTTTCTCTTGACCTATTCTTTTTTTGTTTGTTTGTTTTTTTGAGACAGGGTGTTGCTATGCAGGCTGGTTTTGAGCTCACACTTTGTAGCCCAGGTTGGTCTTGAACTTGCAACAGTGCTTCTGCTCAGCCTCCCAAGTGCTGGGATTACAGGCAAACACCAACATGCCTGGCTTCGTAACCTATCCTTAATCCGTTCAATTCTCCTACACCCTGTACTGCCTATACTTACATTACATACAACACCTAAATTTATTGCCCCCAGTATCCTTCCTGAGGCCCTTCATGTGCTCTCCCTTCTCATTTTAAACTGGAACCAGTTTCAAAAATTGAATCTCTGGAACAAGCTGTGAGATGACAGTCTGAGCACCCACCAGGTGCCACAATGGTGCTGAGCTCCATGGCAGTGGACGGCTGATGTCCCCAGGAGGGATGGGACCTGAAGCCTCCTGCTTGTCTTGACTGTCCATTGCCTGGGAACCTTTCACCCTATCTGGGAATCTCAGGCCTTCAGGGAATGTAGGTCTACTCCTGTGTAAAATTATTTAGTTATGCTGCAATCACTGTATGGTTTGGGGCTCTGTTCTGGGTGCTATGTGTGTATAGCGTACATAGCATTAATCTCCTTGTCCTTTGAGAGCTCACAGAGGGCTGTGGGAGAGAGGGGCCTGGGGAACAGGAGGAAACCAGGGGAGGTGGGTGTGAGCTTCTTTGAGGAGGTAGTGGGAGAGGAGGTGGTAAAGAGCCATTGCCAGGTTCCCAGGGTTACATGAGAACTACTTTGCTTCTTTATTAGAGGGAAAGACTGTTGACCTGGCCAGGCTGAGACATGAAGTATAGGTAGGAGTTGGCCAGGGGAAGAAAAAGTAGGCATGGAATGGGATTCCAGATGGAGGGCATGTGCAAAGGCCCTGTGGTGGGAGGACCAGATCTAGGAACAGATAAGTGGCTGACCAGACCTGGAGCCCCAGCGCCAGATTAAATGAAGTGGTAGGAATCTTTGAACAACTTCAGAGTCTATCTTTCCTCAACTAAAACCTAGTGGACTAACTGCTCATGGTCTGAATCTGTTACTCTCCAGTTTCCTCTTTATCCATCCCTCTGCTGCAGCCAGGCTACTCCCTTTGTGTTCCAGAAACACACTTCTGCTTCACCAGACATTCCTAAATCAGA